TATGCAAGTACTCGTGAAATAGCTAACAAGCTCGCTCCTTTATGTGCAGTTGTTCAAGATGGAGGATGTGAGCATGGGAATGTGGGTCGAGAAATTTAATAGCACAAGACATGTGCAATATGTACACAGCTTGAAGTTCTCACAAGCTGGATGTGTAGACGATTATTATAGTGCTCATTACCAGTCCCCTAGACAGATGATTTGCATGTGGAACAAATTACAACAGCAAGGCCGGCCTCTATGCTGCAACATGAGATGACACTTAAGGATTTGAAGAAGAGAAGGGTATCTAAAAACTGACCAATAAACAAGGATAGACAAGTTTTGCACTTAATAGAACCATGATCTGTATATTTTCTGGAGGACTCTGCTTTTTGATATAATAGGGAAATTCATTTATTGTTTTCTCTACCTTTCTTTTGTTTTTCCTTGCCTTTTAACACACATTTTGAGCTTCATTTGTGGATGGAATGCAAAAAAAGAGGGCACACCTCTGTAATAGAGAAATATAACTACACTTAGCAGCAGAAGGAAACAAATTTAGTTTCTTATGTTCCTTGAAGTTTTCTTCTTTCTTATTAATGTTTTGTGGTTTGTCTTTGAGGTATGTGGTTGACCTATTCAATCGTCAAATTACCATGGCCACACATAATTGACCTGCTATGTGGTAGACTACCGTTGAACTTCGAAATATGAACAAACTGTTAGAAGCAGCAAAATCAATAGAAAAGGAGGTTTTTGGGTATTGACATATCAAAGACACTTTCTTTGTTAAAATAACACGGGCTAGTCAGTTTTCGGACTGGTCAAAAATAGTCAAGTCATTGAAAAATAGTCACTATTTTACTGCAACACGAAAAATTTCAGCATAATATATTGGAGATCAGTGCACCTGTGTATGAACTTCCAACATATTATGTCGGAATTCCAACACACGGAAAGTTCCAATGTAATATATTGGAGATAGGAGCACTAGTATTCCAATCTTCAGTATAATATACTGGAGTTTCAGTATATTATACTGAAGTATTTTTCGGATTTTGAACAGTGTTTTCGTTCAAATTTATCTTTACATGAAAAATGGTTAAATTTCAATTACTTTTGAAACTGTGACTGTTTTTGAATGATCACCTATAAATCTGGCTATTTTTGAATTTCTCACACTTTCTTTATTGATAAATTCCGGATCTTGTTAAAGGGCTTACGACTGAATTGGAATATGATGTCTCACCGTCAAAATTAAAACAACTTTAGATATCCAGCTGTGGATGTTGCTTTTTGGTAGTTTCAAATAGTGGCTTTCGCAAGATTCTACATAAAATGTGGTAAAAATACCACGGTGTAATCAATTTTCGGACTGATCATTCAAAAATAACCAACGTTTACGAAGTCAATGAAAAATAGCCACTATTTTGCTGCAACAGCGACCGGTCCAGCATAATATACTGGAGTTCGGTACACCTGTGTATGAACTCCAGCATATTATGCTGGACCTGTATACTTTGCTGACTCCAGTATAATATATTGGAGACTGGAGCACCGGTGCTCCAAACTTCAGTATATTATACTGGACAATTATACTTGCTGGAACTACAATATATTATGCTGGAGTTCTAGTGTACTTATGCTGGAACTCCATCATATTATGCTGGAGTTCCAGCATACTTATCCTGGAACTCCAGTATAATATATTGACGTATTTTTCGGGTTTTGAACAGTGTTTTCGCTCAGATTTATCTTTACATGAAAAATGGCTAAATTTCGATTACTTTTGAAACTGTGCTATTTTTGAACGACCAGTTGTAAATCTGGCTATTTTTGAATTTCTCCCTAAAATGTGTTGGCTTATTATCATAATTGACTTGCAAAATGGATTATGGGCTGCGGTGGGTTTTAAGGTTTGGGAAATTGACTTGCAAAATGGATTATGGGCTGCGGTGGGTTTTAAGGTTTTACTTGGTGTCTCAAATGTGGAAATAGCACGGGTTAATCAGTTTTCGGATTGGTAATTGAAAAATGACCAGCATTTGTAAAGTCATTGAAAAATAACCACTATTTTGCTGCAACACGAAAAGTTTCAGCATAATATACTGGAGATTGGTGCACCTGTGTATGAATTTCCAGCATATTATGCTAGAACTCCAGCACATAAAAAGTTCCAGCATAATATACTGGAGATTGGAGCACTTGTGTATGAACTTCCAACATATTATGCTGGACCAATATTTATGCTGAAACCCTAATATATTATGCTGGAACTTCAGTATATTATACTAAAAGTTCACATGTAAAAAATTCGAACTCCAGTATATAATGCTGGAATGTTTTTCGGATTTTGAACAGTGTTTTCGTTCAGATTTATCTTTACATGAAAAGTGATTAAAAATTCGATTATTTTTTGAACTATGGCTATTTTTCAATTACCACTTGTAAATCTAGCTATTTTTGAATTTCACCCGATTTTACTTGGTGTCTCAAATTAAGATTTACTTTGGACACGTTTGACCATAGATTAGGCAGCTTGTTTTGAAAAAATTGGGAAAATAATATATATATATATATATATATATTTTGTATGTTATATACAAAAATTATACAAGTTTTATACACTTTTTTGGCTACCAGGTATAAATAATTTCCGGCGTGGGCTAAAAGTGATAATACCTCAAAAAAAATTGAAAACAATATTTGTTCATGAAATATGGTTAGTTTTTGAAAAACAAAATAGGATTTTTTTCCCAGGTTCCCAAAAACTGGTTTAAGATAGTTTTTGGGTAAAAAATTTCCTTCCACTCACAAAACTTTAACTTTTTTTAAAAATAAAATGCATGTCAATACACAACTTCAACTTTCAAAAATTAGTATTCAACACAAAATTTCAAAAACCCATTTTTCAAGTTTCAATCAAATCTATATCCAAATGCTTGCTTTATATTAGTTTTAAGCAACTCGGCTTGTTATGGAGTAATATTTTAATTATTATTTAAAAAAAAAATATTATTAACGCACATTTACATAAGGAAAAAAAATGTGAATTTCCTTTCTTTTAGAAAACTTTCCTATGAACATCCACATTTTAATACTATTGTTTACAACATTTTATGGGTTTCATCTGCATGTTCTAAGAGTACAAGGTACTCTCGTTTAGTTAGTGCAGGTGTAATACGTGGAAATCCAAGAAGCTAAGGGGATCAAAATAGATCTTGGCTTTTTAATGACATATTTTGTTTGCAGTTTCACAAGTTTTAGTCATGTCATTGTATAGGGTAAAATATGTTTATATTAAATGATCGCATAAGGAAGTGACACGTGGAGCCGAAAACATAAGATAGTTGAATCCGAAGGCAACGACCTTGAGAAAATGATACTCATAAAGATGAAATAAATGCTTGTCACCCGGTAGCGTTTAGTGATGAATATTCTACAACATTAAGTTCACGACCCGTTATAAGGAATATGGCATTCCATGCCTGCCGTTACACATTCTTCATTGGCCATCATAATTGACATTAAAGAGGGGCTTGGTCCTAGGACCTTGTTCCCTAAGTGTAGCTATAAATAGTAAGCTCTATTATCATTGTAAAGGATACGAATTTTCTGGCAAAAAGACATGCTACACTCTATTCAAAGCTTATCGTTGCTATTGTCCCCAGAAGTCCCGTTCCCGGAATTGCTATATCTGCTATTTTATCTCTCTTTCAAGGTTAATATTCATTTTGTCTAATTCGTCTATTATCTTAGGATCAAATTAATTCATTTGTCTATAAATTACATATAAATTTAACTGTACCGTTTTACGGGTAAACAATCACCAACTCAGGACTTGTCTTGCATGAGTGAACAGGGGCAGAGCTAGGGGATTGGAAGGGGTTTATCTGAACTATCTTTGTCGGAAATTTTATATAAGAGTAAAAATTTTATGTGTATATGGTAGATGTTGTATCTCTTTGGCTTCTTTTATTTTTTTAATTCCATGTGAAAATCCTGCCTCTGCAGGGTCTCCCAGCACGAAGCAACTATCCTTGTGAGAATTTTTGCGTTTGTAGGAAAGACCCTGTCAGTACCTCTATGGCTTTCAAATGTCTGAATATGATTATAGGCCTTATGGCCACCTTTTCTGGTGCTTCAAGGAAATAGTGACACACACTATAGTGACACACTATATACAGTGGCGGAGCCAGAATTTTCATTAAGGGGGTCAAAATATAAAGTAATAAACTCACCAAAAAGTCTATATTTGGAAGTGAAAAAGAAAAATATAATTAGCTATAAAAAGTTATAACGTACACTAGTTGTTGTGTAGTCATGCAAATTTACTAGTTTCCTTTCTTTTACCATGGACACTAGAAAGAAGCACTATTGAGAATTATTGGTTTGAATAATTTCGATAAAGAGATATTAATCTGCATTTGGTTGGATTATAGGATACATCACAAGTTGTAAGGGTCTCCATAGTTCAGGATCCATAGATAATTTTAGACTAGATTTGTTTGATTAGCCTATGGAAATGGTTATTTAAGTTATGAGATGTGATAATGATCTTAATTTCAAATGCACTCTTCACCTTTTGCTCTGGTACATTTCGCGTTGTTAACCTCTAACAGCGCTCATTTGAATATGTGATAAATCTTTCTCATTGCAATCATTCGGTAAGTAAATTCCAGCAAGATATTGCTGAAGGGGTGCCTTGGTGTAACTGGTAAAGTTGTTGCCATGTGACTAGGAGGTTACGTGTTCAAACAGTGGAAACAGACTCTTGCAGAAATGCAGGGTAAGGCTGCGTACAATAGATCCTTGTGGTCCGGCCCTTCCCGGACCCTGCACAGAAACTTAGTGCACTAGACTGCCTTTTTTTATATTGCTTGAGGGACATTGGTTCTGCTATATCCATCCATTTCTTTAAAGAATCCCCTTGGACCGGTGATAATTTAGAGTGCATATGCTTAAGCCACAATGCTGAACTATATGATCAACATAAGATGTTGATCATAATTGTCATCTAAGAGAAAAAAAGAGCTTTATTTTACGAGAATTGTCTATTGAGAAGCCTATATCTCTCTCTACACATGACATTGTTTTTAGTAGCATTGCTAAAACCAACTGGCCAACATCAACATAAAAGACAAGAATATGAGCACCAAGTTATTGTATGAACCTGTTAACATGATTGCTGCTGAAGGAGGGGAAGCAGCAGCAGGACCAGCTGGGATATCAACAACAGCAGAAGAATCTTCCTTAGCACAAGCGTATTTACAGCGACTCGGACGAACGACCCTGTAAACTCCACTACTTACAAGGACATACATATCCTTGTTGTTGTCCTCACCATATGAAAAAATGTAGCCCAACGATGGAACTGAGCTTCCAGGAACAAAGGTACAATCTATTGGTGATTTCTGAGCACAGTTGAAAGATATTTGAGTGGTGTTAAATATTCCACTGTTCTCTGGATTTTCAGTGCCTGCCCACATGGAACCTGCATACAGATCCGCAAAAAGATACCTGCAAAATTTCATCTGTCATTACCATTGTAAGATATCCTCGAGATACACTAGTTTGTAGGGGTGAAACCATGGTGAGCTAAAGTGTTAAAAAGGGGACGAGTAGAGCTAAAATCACATAGAATAGAGTCGTCTCGAGACACCTATAATCTCTTGGAACCCATGCAGACCTAGCAAAAAATAGGGCACGATGGAAGAAAAATATATATATAGGTGATACCAATTCGTTGGGATTAAGTTCTAGTCATGTTAGTACGTTTACTTAATATTCAATATTTTTTAGGAGTCTTCAAGTCCGACTAGAGATTTATGTGCCAGTAATAAATATAGAGAATTTCTTGTACTTTTTATTTTTGATTATATAATACTGGACTAAGATGAACTTAAACAGAGGAACATAGGTAGTGAAGATCCATATAGCCAAACCCGACTTGCTTATGATTAAGGCATAGTTGTTGTTGTATTACCAAAAAGGGATGCATTCAAGAAAAAGTTAAGAGTATGAAGAACAAGAAAAAGAAAAAGAAATAGAAATGTGTGAGATCAAATTTGTGGAATGCAAAAAATTTCCCTGTCAAAATCATATTGATCCAAAGTATCAAATCAATATTTGTTCTTTCTTTAAGTAGACTCACCTTCCATGCATGCAGGGATCAGTGATGGACCTATAGAAGTATCCACCAGTAATTGAGGCTGACCCTACATTCTTATTCACATCTGAATGATTGTATCTCATAACCGGGAAAATTGGGTTTATTGAGCTTATAGATGTATTTCCTCCTGGTGATTTTTGAGGGGTGTAGAGATAGGGACCCTCGTAGGCTCGCCAACCATAGTTACCACCCTTGCTGATTATATTCACCTCTTCAAATTTATCCTGTGAGACAATCATATTTATTTGCAGTTAATGCAAATGAACAGAATTCTGGAGCTCGAAAGGGGACACCTTCAAGAGAACATCGACAAGGCCTATAAGTAAAGCTTGAAGAGTAAAGTTTCTTGTACTTTACCTGTCCTACATCTGCACACATGAAGTAAGATGGCCTTGAAGAATCAAAACTGCAGCGCCAAGGATTACGCATTCCTAGTGCCCAAATTTCAGGCTGCAATTCTTTATCTTCAATGTAAGGATTATCCTTTGGTATGGAGTAGTTTCCCCATAAACCGAGCTTGGTCATCTCAGCTTCACCTATGGGAATATGCACCAGATGCAAAATAAGGGGCAGGAAATGATAAATCAGTAGAATAAAATAGTGAAATCTAAATTCACTTTAACATGTTAGATAGTTCAACACTTTCCATGTGAGGTTCAAGCCTTTTGCAAATGGGAAGCCACTTACTAGGTGTGCTATCAACATCAAGCCTTATAATCTTTCCCAGTAATGACTTCTTGTTTTGGGAAAAGTTGTAAGGATCACCTATACCTCCACCATCACCCATCATGAAGTACAAATATCCGTCTGTCGGTCCAAAAAGAATCTGGCCCCCGTGATGTGCTGTAAACGGAAGGCCCATGGTGAATATCCTTCTGACTTCTTTTGGATTGGCAGTTTTTGCCTGGAAATTTGAACTACATTTATCAATCATTCAGAGCTAAACAAAGGAGAGAGAAATAAATCCAATAGACCGCGAAAGTTACCTCTGATGGCTGAGATGCTTTCCCACTAACAGTAAATTCTGCAATTACAGCTTGATATTGGCACGGTTCAGAACCACTATCACTAGGTAATTTTGATGGATCACAATCCACATCTGAGTTACAAGAACATCTTCCTCCACATCCAGGCCATGCTTGCTTATCGCAATTAAATGAAGCAAAGAATCTTCCATTTTGTGAGAACTTTGGATGAAATGCAATCCCCATCATCCCAAGCTCAGTATCAAAATGAACTTCATCCGTTAAGTCAAGGAAAGGATTAGCTTCATCAAGCTCTAATAACTTTCCTGAATCGACTTCAGGAATGGTAGCCAACCATATTTTCCCTTGCTGATTCGAGAAGAAAGCACGACTAGAGCCATCAGGATGTGCAACCATATTGAGGTAACTACCATTTCCAATTTTCTCGAGGCACAAACCGCCTGGAGGATTTGGAGATGTGGTTGTATTTAAGGCAACAGGTTCTCCAGCAAAGCATACTGATCCATCACCAGAAGCTCCACCAAATGCATTACAGAAATCGGTTTGTGATTGCCAGAGATCCGTCAACTTCGTGAAATTGGACTTGACAGAAGCAGCAAAAGGAGAACCAATGATAGACACATTTTGACAAGTTGTCCATACTTTAGAGCAAAAGTCATTCTTAGATTGGCTACTTTGGGATGAATTTGCTGAAGACGAGGAGTTGCATAGGATCGGAAGTTGTCGAGGAACAGAATTAGTTCTGAACAGCTCTGCTGAAAATTTATCACACTTCTGCAAAAGGTGAAAATACAGAATTCCATGCATCAAGAGTCAATGAGGAATTAAGATCACTGCATATCTATATGTGATTACTTATAAATCCTTAACTACTACTATCAGGATACTAGTATACCAAAATTCCTAGCCACTTTTAAATTATTGAAAACTTCCAAAATAGAATCAGCACAGAGATTTCAGAGAAGTGGAGTATTTTGTGCTTCACAAACAAAATAAAATGGAAGGTAACAGATTCAAAAATGGTAGATTTAAACCTCATACAGCTACAACTTGATATTGTGAAACAATTATAGGAATTACAAAGACCATCTTCTTACCGCACAGAGGAGAGATTTTACAAGAGAAGTACATCCAGGATCAGTAATGTTCATAGCATTAAACTGGGCCTGAAGTTGTTTATCATCAGTGGAATTGCAGCATGAAGTTCCATTATAAGGACAGAATGTTAGAGGAGACTTTTGCTGAATAGGAGCTCCTGTAAACACATGAGGTTATTGGAATTAAAACCAGAATAGATAACTGCAAATAACAAGTTTTTCAAGACAAAACTTGTAATCGCCCAGTGCAAATGCTGAAACTTACTTGAATCAGTACACAAAGGAAGTGAAAAAGAAGGACAAAGAAGATTGAAAAGAATGATGAATATGATGAAAGGAGTCCTTCCCATGATTCCTAGTTGAAGTCAAAAGCACTAGAAATTAAGTTCTATTTGCAGCTACATTAGAGTGAGTCTTTTCAACATTTGAAACATCCTCAGTTCCTATTCCTAAAAGGAAACAGATTAAGTACTGCAGAGACAAAAGCAAGATCATCTATAAAAATGACATCTTTTGGATGCTACCAACTCCTGTATTATTGGTCTTATGTTCCCATCTATCCCTTTGCAAACTTTAATCTGCATTTTTCTCTTAATTACAAGGGTCATTTGACATTATGTGTTGTCTATAGAAATGGGAGGCCCCATCTCTAAGCAGTTGACTTTACATGATATATAAATTCTTGCCATAAATACAACTAGAATAAAATATTGCATGGTTTTCCAACTAGGGCAAAACAAAAAAGGGCAGCCCGGTAGACAAAATATTCCGTATTCACGCAGGATCCGGGAAGGGCCGTACCCCAAGGGATATGATGTAGGCAGGAGGTAGCCTACCACTACTAGAAATCCGGTAAAAAGCGACCACAAAAAGCGACCAAAGTTGGTCGCTTATAGGCCTAAAAAAGCGACCAAACATGTCTGGTCGCAATATTGCTGGTCCCTTTATTTTAGGGACCAAAGTTTAGCGACCAACTTTGGTCTCTAAGGTAAAAGGACCAAATATTCCGGGTAAAGACTATAGCGACCAACTTTGGTCGCTTTATTATTTTAATAATATAATTTTGGCGACCAAAGCTGGTCTCTAAATGTAAAATACGTTATTTATTTATTTATTTATTTATTTATTATTAATCATAAAAAAGCGACCAACTTTGGTCTCTAATCCAAATATTATATTTTAAAATTTGGAAAATAGAGACCAAGAGTGGTCGCTTTTTTATTTATTTATTTATTTTTTTAAAAATAAGCGACCATAGTTGGTCGCTAACTTCAAGAAATAATTTTTTTTAATTATAAGCGACCAACTTTGGTCGCTATATTTCCAGAAATTATTTTTTTTAAAAATAGAATAGCGATCAAAGTTGGTCGTTTTTGAGAAATTTGGGTTAAATAGCGATTTTTAAGGGAAAAACGACCAATTAGCGACCAAAGTTGGTCGCTTTTCTTGGTATATTTTTGCCAGAAAATGCCTGTTTTGGCAGCTACACTACCTGTCAGCTTACCAAAAATCCTAAACATGCATTTTATGCCAACAACAACAACAACAATAACCAACAACAACAACAACAACAACAATAAAAAGCAACAAAGTATAAAGTTCAATAGAACTAACACATTAAGCTAACAAAACTTAGTTAACGCTTCTTACAAGCCCATTCGAAAATTGGTTCTATTGTCTAGTTCAAAGTATATAAAGTACTCAAGGAGTNGCTGATGAAAACTGAACAGCAGAAAACTCGCTTTATGCCTCAGGAATACCTGTACCTGCACACATGGTGCAGGGAGTAATGTGAGTACTCCGACCCAGTGAGTAATAAATATAAATAATAACTGA